GGGGGTGAGATGGATGGGGAGTGATGCACTGTGACTGGGAGTGATTACATTGTGACTGAGGGGTGAGATGGATCGGGAGGGATGCACTGTGACTGGGAGGGATACATTGTAACTGGGGGGTGAGATGGATGGGGAGTGATGCACTGTGACTGGGAGTGATTACATTGTGACTGAGGGGTGAGATGGATCGGGAGGGATGCACTGTGACTGGGAGGGATACATTGTAACTGGGGGGTGAGATGGATGGGGAGTGATGCACTGTGACTGGGAGTGATTACATTGTGACTGAGGGGTGAGATGGATCGGGAGGGATGCACTGTGACTGGGAGGGATACATTGTAACTGGGGGGTGAGATGGATGGGGAGTGATGCACTGTGACTGGGAGTGATTACATTGTGACTGAGGGGTGAGATGGATCGGGAGGGATGCACTGTGACTGGGAGGGATACATTGTAACTGGGGGGTGAGATGGATGGGGAGTGATGCACTGTGACTGGGAGTGATTACATTGTGACTGAGGGGTGAGATGGATCGGGAGGGATGCACTGTGACTGGGAGGGATACATTGTAACTGGGGGGTGAGATGGATGGGGAGTGATGCACTGTGACTGGGAGTGATTACATTGTGACTGAGGGGTGAGATGGATCGGGAGGGATGCACTGTGACTGGGAGGGATACATTGTAACTGGGGGGTGAGATGGATGGGGAGTGATGCACTGTGACTGGGAGTGATTACATTGTGACTGAGGGGTGAGATGGATCGGGAGGGATGCACTGTGACTGGGAGGGATACATTGTAACTGGGGGGTGAGATGGATGGGGAGTGATGCACTGTGACTGGGAGTGATTACATTGTGACTGAGGGGTGAGATGGATCGGGAGGGATGCACTGTGACTGGGAGGGATACATTGTAACTGGGGGGTGAGATGGATGGGGAGTGATGCACTGTGACTGGGAGTGATTACATTGTGACTGAGGGGTGAGATGGATCGGGAGGGATGCACTGTGACTGGGAGGGATACATTGTAACTGGGGGGTGAGATGGATGGGGAGTGATGCACTGTGACTGGGAGTGATTACATTGTGACTGAGGGGTGAGATGGATCGGGAGGGATGCACTGTGACTGGGAGGGATACATTGTAACTGGGGGGTGAGATGGATGGGGAGTGATGCACTGTGACTGGGAGTGATTACATTGTGACTGAGGGGTGAGATGGATCGGGAGGGATGCACTGTGACTGGGAGGGATACATTGTAACTGGGGGGTGAGATGGATGGGGAGTGATGCACTGTGACTGGGAGTGATTACATTGTGACTGAGGGGTGAGATGGATCGGGAGGGATGCACTGTGACTGGGAGGGATACATTGTAACTGGGGGGTGAGATGGATGGGGAGTGATGCACTGTGACTGGGAGTGATTACATTGTGACTGAGGGGTGAGATGGATCGGGAGGGATGCACTGTGACTGGGAGGGATACATTGTAACTGGGGGGTGAGATGGATGGGGAGTGATGCACTGTGACTGGGAGTGATTACATTGTGACTGAGGGGTGAGATGGATCGGGAGGGATGCACTGTGACTGGGAGGGATACATTGTAACTGGGGGGTGAGATGGATGGGGAGTGATGCACTGTGACTGGGAGTGATTACATTGTGACTGAGGGGTGAGATGGATCGGGAGGGATGCACTGTGACTGGGAGGGATACATTGTAACTGGGGGGTGAGATGGATGGGGAGTGATGCACTGTGACTGGGAGTGATTACATTGTGACTGAGGGGTGAGATGGATCGGGAGGGATGCACTGTGACTGGGAGGGATACATTGTAACTGGGGGGTGAGATGGATGGGGAGTGATGCACTGTGACTGGGAGTGATTACATTGTGACTGAGGGGTGAGATGGATCGGGAGGGATGCACTGTGACTGGGAGGGATACATTGTAACTGGGGGGTGAGATGGCTGGGGAGTGTTGCATTGTGACTGGGAGGGATACATTGTGACTGAGGGGTGAGATGGATGGGGAGTGATGCAGTGTGACTGAGGGGTGAGATGGCTGGGGAGTGATGCAATGCGATTGGGAGGGATGCAATGTGAGCGCAGAGAAGGGTGAGGTTGCAGGGAAGGATGTGTTGATGGGGGTGAATAGTGCAGGGTTGAAAACCTATGAAATGACAATAACACGTTCAATGTGACATACAAGTTTAGTGATTGGAGAACTCACTACATGCTCATGAGGATTTACAACTGTTGTCAGGGCTAGCAAGGAGTAAAACATTGGCGGAGCCGCGAGAAGGGGCGTGGCTAACGCGGCCACATAGGACGGAAGTTACGCGCGGTTAATTTGCCGCACTTCCTGCTTCCGGTTTGAGCTGCGAGACGCCATCGAGACGTTCGCGCTGCATGCGGCCAGTCTACGTTCGCCTAGATATACTGTTTCGAAATGAGACGACGGCCTAGAGAACGTGCCCAGCCGGCAAACAGCACAACCCGCAAGAGAAAAAGCCGGAGCGTGGAGGCCGCGGCTTCTGAGGAGGAGGAGATCCTCATCTCCAACCTGGACGACCTGCTGCGTGAGGGGGAGGCGGCTGCGGCCTGGTGGACCGAGGACGGCGAGCGGCCCGCAGACAGCTCCTTAGCCGATCTCCTGCAGGAGCTAGCCGCCTGCGACGAGGACGAGGCCGCGATTTGCCGCCAGGACTTTCGGCTCGGCGAGGCCGCTTCCAGCACGGCGCCCGACGCCAAGCAGAGGGCGTGTCGGGCAGGCGGCGGCGAAAACAACAAGAACGCGCAGGCCGCACGCTTGAACCGCCTGCGCAAGAAAGAGTACGTCAGCGGCCTGGAGGGGAAGGTGGCGCGCCTGTCGGAGGATAACCAGCGGCTAGAGAGGGAGCGGAGGAGCCTGGGGGAGCGCGTACAGCAGCTGGAAGAGGAGACTCGCTACCTCAAGGCCGTGCTGGCCAATGACAGCGCTCTGTCCCAGCTGCTGGGGCGCCTGACCGGACTGGGCGGGGTCAAGCTGGCGACGTCAATCTTTAGCAAGAAGGAGCCGCGCGAGCATGACTACGCTCTGCCCGCGGAGGAGACGGCGCCCCCTGGTGGTGGAGTGTGCCTGCACGTCGACCAGGACAAGGTGTCGGTGGAGTTCTGCCCTGCCTGTTCCAGGAGTGCGGCGAGCGCAACCAAAATGTAGGGTCAAGTATCTGCTCTGTGTGCGCTGGACACCGGAAGAGACTCTGTGCATGCTGGGTGTGGGCAGCCAGATCCTGCATAAGTGTAGGCTGTCGGGAACCTATTGTCACGTTTGCAGTGTTTATTTGCTGCAGTCTGCAGATCACACGCTGATATCAATGTATACACTTAAGTGCTGACTGCAGCATTGCTCCTCCATACTTTGCAAATATAGGCCGTCTGCAGCCAGTGACGCTTCAAGTATACCGAGTGTAGGTGACTAGCAAGATTGTAAGACGCCCCCTATCAGTATAGGTGACTTCAAGAGTCTGACGATCCTGTGCCCTGACCAATGACAGCACTTCAAGCAAAGGGTTCCAGAGTGTTGCAGTTTGCCTTCCTGCTTCCCCGACACATGGGCAATCCACGGCTCTTCATGTATCATGGGACAGAGTCCTGGCCTGCTCTGTCTTGTAGCCATAGACACAATGTGTAATGATTTTGAGTGTTGCGCCCTTGTACTTTTTTTTGGGATATTGGGTGTTTCGGGAAGAACTGTGTAAAGGCCAACGTCCCCTTTATAGCCCAATAGTCGTGAAATGTGTTTCAGGTGCATTAATATGAAAGGTGTAACGGGGTTGGTTGCACCAGGTCGCTAAAATGGGATCCTGATGCTGCTGCCTCAGGAAGAATATCGTAAACTGATTTAGTGAACCATTTTTTTTCTTCTAATCTACTGTTCTCAAAGCTGGTCCTTTGGAAAGTAGGGCTCTTGATTTCTGTGTGGAATCAGCGGTCTCTCCGAAGAGGTCTGACACCCCATGCAGTGTTGGAGCCGCAACTTTCCAATGCCACGAGTGTTGCTGATTGCAGAGAGAGGGTGTCTTGGACATCTGCAGGGAGACAACTGTTTTCCTATAGAAAGCAAGGGTCCTGCTTTGCAGCTGCTGGCAGGGGACAGACCTTTGTTTAGGCCGTGGCTGTGCTCAATAGAAAGTGAACCGTAGGACTTTGCACGCCTTTTTGTTTTGATGCGCCTTTGATAAGACTTCAGGAAATTGTTTTTTCTTAACCTTTGCAACCAGATCCAGCATAAGTGTAGGCCGTGAGGAACGTATTGTCATGTTTGCAGTGTTTATTGGTGTCTGCAGATCATGCCCTGATATCAATATATAGTGCTGGGATAGCCCCCCCACTGCAAGGGTTAACTGTTCGTTTTTGTCTACATTAAAAAATAGCAAAGTAATACTCACCTGATGCTCTGAGCCGGCTTGTTCTTGGACCGGTCCCTGCAGCCTCTCTTCCCCCCTCTTCTGCAGCGGTCTAAGGTCCTGTAAATCATTGCACCTATACACAGTGTATAAATGTGAGGACCCGAGGAAGATTCCAATGCTGCAGAGGAAGAGACAGGCTGGAGGGACCGCTGGGACGTCCAGCTGGCTCGGAACTTCAGGTGAGTGTAACTTTATTTTGAGCCTAGACAAAAACGAGCACTTAACCCTTGCATTGAGTGGGTAGCGCCACTGCAAGGGTTAAGCCAAAGTTTTCCTGGCGTTCTTTGACAACTTCCACAGCCTTCTAATCTAATAGAGGCCTCCTACCTCTGTCAGATGGCAGCAGCCTCCCCTGAAGGTTAGACTTGGCCTTGCAGCGTTATGCCTGAGTTTAAACCTGCCATAGATTTGTATGGAGCTTTATTGCTACAGAAGAAACTAGCAGCCTTTGCAGGTCTATGGAGTGTTGGATAAGCCTCTGAACGGAAGGCCTCAGACATCCCGAGGCGGCTGCCACTGTCAGGGAAGGGAAAGCATCTGAAGCTTAGGTTAGGGGGCTATGGGGTTTTTTATTTTAGGGTGATGTTGCCCTTTAAATATGGAAATCTGTGTATGAGGTTTTGGGAAGCCGAGTTTTTCTTTTTCAGTAAGGCAAATTGGAGAGCTATAACTATATAGAGCGACACACAGCAGCTGATCTGAATCCAGTAAATCGATATCAGATGCTGTGGAGTCTCGAACCTCCCGCAGCCATTGATTGCTCTTTGTCCGGCCTTATTGAACAAGCTCGTTTTTCGTATTTGATTGCTAATGGTGACTGCATGAAGACTGTATCTGCCTCCATTATACAATACTAGTAAACCTCTCTTGACAGTTTCTCTTTTAGGTGACTTGACGGCTTGCTCCATTGTAGGAGTTAAAGAGCAGTTCCTTATCGCCTTGCAACCTGGTAAGGATCTCAGTGCTTACCTAATGCAGACCTAGCTTTGGGGGGAAGGAAAGGGTGGGCAAACAAGATGACAGTTTGGTGATACGGCAATGCTCTAGGTCTTAGACAAGCATTGCTGATTATATCAAACAGGTAGACGTTGGCGTACTCTCTCATAAAGCAGAAGTACTGCATATGTTGTATCAATGTATATATTTTACTAAATCTGTGTTGAGCCGGATGACACGGCCAGTGTCCCTTCAATGGGCTAGCTTGTTTAAAGGATATTCTAATTTGAGGATACAGTGTATGGCCTGTTATTCAAAATACATAATTGCAATATGCATTGTTAGTAACAGCATGAAAACCTTGACCATGACTAGATAAAATTACTTTGTACAGTTATTTTGTTAATCCTCACCCCTCTGGTTACAAAGCCAGCACTTATGATCATTTTTAAATCTACTGTAAAGGAACACTGTAAATCAGATTCTTCTACCCCATTGGCTACTTTGATTTTTGTACGTGGCCATAATGGAGTCTAAAGATTTGATTTTGTATTAGAGAGGTGAATGCAGAGTAGGCTGTATATAAATATAATCTGTAAAGTGAGATTTTACAAGGGATTACGTGTGATTTTCTTATTACGCCCATTACCAGAGCCTGCTATGATATCTGTTCATTCTGATCGCTCCCGCCTTAATTCTGTCCATGTTCTGCACATCTGTTCATGTGTATATCGGTGTGCATGGGCTGCGATTGGATCACTTCCATTCACATCAGACTTCCAAATGGCTCTAAACACTCTGTATATACATACAGCCAGATCCCTTTTGAAATCTCGCTTCTTCCAATGAATATGTATATTTAGCATCCTTGTTTTTTTTTATGCTAAAGTGGATTCAGCTATATGGGACGGAAGACTTGGATCCTGCTGCTGGCCACATGCCCTGCTGTGTATAAAAGGTAGTATGGTACCGGAGGTAACAGTAGGGCTTTCCTTTTCAGTTCCACTTTTTTCTTGTGTTCTGTGAAGTTGAAAGGTAACTTGAAATGCTGAGCCGCTGCCGCGGGGCTTGAGTTTAAAAGCGTGTGTGCCGTCTGGTTGTTGGACAATTTCATGAGGTGGCAGAGTTTAGTATAGTCAAGCCTAATGCTAGCCATACGCTGCTCTTTTTTTCGGTCAACCTGCTGGGCTGAGCGAAAAATATAAAACAGATTCATCTAATGCAGGGGTAGCCAAAACTCTGGCCCTCCAGCTGTGGTGGAACTACAAATCCCATGAGGCATTGCAACATTCCCACAGACATGACTCCTGGAGAGAGAGGCATCATGGGATTTGTAGTTTCACCACAGCTGGAGGGCCACAGTTTGGCTACCCATGCTCTAATGAGGAATCGCAGCTGTTTATTTTGTATTCTGACAGCGGCCACTGGCTGCTGTCGGAATACCAGAACAGAGCTAGCAGCTCATTGGCAGCAGCACCCTTTGTGCAGATTTCATCCGTTTCCTCAAGAACTGGCCGAAATTCGCACAGTATATGGTAGGGATGTATCGATACTAGTATCGGCGCCGATAGAGTATTTGGGCGAGTACTCGTACCTTGCCCGAATGCTCCCATACTTTTCCCTGATACCGAAACTTCTGGTGAGAGGAAGATTTCCTCTGACCAGCAGTGCCATAGGGGAACATGGAACCAGCTTCCCGTGCAATCAGGAAGTTGGGTGGCGAGTAATGACCCCAGCTTCCTGATTGGCCGGAATGCTGGCTTTCCAACCAATCAGCAGGCGGGTCATTACTCGCCGCCCGGCTTCCAGATTGGCTGGGAAACTGGCTCGATGCCGTTTCCTGGCCAAACAACATGGAGCTGCCTACCCGGGCAATCAGGAAGCCAGGCGGCATGTCCTTGCCCGGCTCCCTGATTGCCCGGAAAGCCTGCTCTGTGTCAGCAAGAAGCACTGGTATCGGCGAGTACCGAAAGCAAAATATAGGTACTCGATAGCGAAAAAAACGGTATAGGTTCATCCCTAGTATATGGCCACCTTAAGGATTAAAGAAGAACTCTTCATTAACCCGTGCAGAGGGGCTACACCACACTGCAAGGGTTAACTACTTTTTTTTTTTTTGCCTAGGGTCAGTAAGTTACTCGCCTGATCCTCAGAGCCGAGTGGCTCTTAGAAAGTGGTCCCTGGAGCCTCTCTTCCTCCGCTGCAGCGGTCTAAGGATCCTTAAGTCAATACGTCCGTTACAGAGTTTATTCGATGTGAGGACGTCAAGGCACATACAGTGTAGGAGAAGACAGGCTGGAGGGATCACTGTGACAGCCGCTATCTCTGAGGTTCGGGTGAGTAGATGAAAATGAGCAGGGTAGCCCCACTGCAAGGGTTAATAAGTTTTGCCTTGAGTTCTTTAACATATGCTGGTTTCCTTGAAATATACAGTGCAGGAAAGCCATAAAAATGTAGGTTCAATGTGTGCAGGATAAACACAAACACTGGCTACTATAATCTGAACATGCATCTTTCATAGACTTCTGTGTTAACACCTTAGAGCAGGGTTAGGCAACCTTAGCACTGCACTGGCAGTGGAACTACAAATCCCATAATGCCCTGGAAGTGGTGTTTGTGACGTCTGTCCTGCAATGCCTCATGGGACGTCCACTGCAGCTGAAGTGCCTAAATTGTCTAACCCTGCATTAAAGGGAATGTAACAAATTCAATGTATTCCACCCTTCTCAGGTTGGTGTATGTATAGCTAAAACCTTATAGTGGGCATGGATAAGAACCTCTGCCTTGTATTGTATAGCTGTCCGAGTCCTGGTCAGGGAGATTCGCCTGCTGTTGTCGGAAAGTAATGGGGGACACAAATTGTTGGGAGTTGTCGCCAGAACAAGAGGGATGGGAAATCTTTCAGTTGAATACCTGCTCTGCGCTGGTGACAATCGAGGGAAATTCTGCTCACTTTGTAGAAATTTCCTCTGATTACCTGTTGCCTTTCATGGACCAGAAGTGGAGACATTTCTCCTAAACAGGGCACAGAGCGTTAAAAAAAAAAATAAACCGGGGTTTAAGCCTTTCCTACTGTACCCAAACATAAGTTTGGGTTATACATACACTTTAACTATAACGGTTACGGGCCAGCAAGCATATACAACGTGGTGGCCCAGCGATAAGTTCCTCGGCCATGGAGTAGCTGCATCGTGTGCTATGGACACAAATTAATATGGAATTCAGGAGCCAGCAGGATTCATTTTTGGGGCCCGTTCCATTGACGACAACTATAGAAAACCTCAACGGTTGGGCGCAGACTGTACATTGTTAAGGAGCATTGGTGACCTGGCTCCTGGGATTTCTCCAGCCCTGATTTACGCCTGCATGTTAAAACAAATATGCATACCTTTTTTTTATTGAAATCAATGAATGCACCAAAACTGCTCAATACTGTACAATGGGCCTTAAAACTTTCTTTGTTGCCATTGATTTCCCTGGAAATGTGTGTTCCTAAACACGGAGGTGTTAATGCAGCCAGATTCAGCCAATGTATTTGTGATTTAAAGTAACTGTCAGTCTTAAAAATACATTCAGGTACCTTAACTATTAACACAAATGTATCTTCTTTGTGTGTGATCCTCCAATCATCTCTGAATTGGTGCTGACACTGTCCTTCCTTCTGGAGGGGGGCTACATCTGTTCCCCATGGTCCCCGTGTGTGTGTTGTAAAGTAGTCACCGCTCCAAGCTCGCTCCGGGGATGGACTACAGTCTCCTTACAAATTGGTATACTAAACAGGAGAATGTAGTCCATCATGGGAGTGATCTTGGAGCGGTGACTACTTTACAACACACACAGGGACCACGGGGAACAAAAGTAGCCCCCCTCCAGAAGGAAGGACGGTGTCAGCACCAATTCAGAGATGATTGGAGGATCTACAGCCGAGTGATACACAAATAACATACATTGTTGTTAAATCTTAAAAATGAATTTGCGTACCTTAACTGCGGAGTTTAAAAAGCTGCTGGGAACACCACCAGACTTGTCAGATGCAGCAAAGAACAGACCTGATCACTTCTAAAATTAAACAATTTTGGAAGGCGGGGAAAATTAGACTAGGGGTGGGCAAACGTCAGCCCTCCAGCTGTGGTGAAACTACAAATCCTGTCATGCCTGTGGCTGGCAGTCCTGCGATGCCTCATAGGACTTGTAGTTCCACAGCAGCTGGGAGTGCTGAAGTTTGCCTACTAGAGCCTACTAGATAAATTCATGGTTTCAGAAAGCCGCAGTTTGAATTATAATTCCCAGGAGAGAACTGGTAGAGATTTAGATTTCATTATAAAACTGTTCATGACCGGCCCGCTTTGTTTAGAAGACTGCATTCATGTAGCCTTCTACGCAATTCACCAGGAAGGCATTTTAGAATACTCATTTTTTTTTGTACTCGTCTTATTTTATGATTGGAGTTCACAGAGTTTATGCTGCTATACACTGGAGGATGATCCTAGGTGCACTAAAGGCAATCTAGGGGGCTGTAACACCCCATCTCCTAAACCAAGAGGTGGGGTTTAAGCCACAGGGTGGTACAGGCCCCTGGATTACTTTTAGTCCTCCCAGCGTAGTCCCGTAGATTGCAGCATAAACACACATGAATCTGGCTGTGCCAGTCCAATAATGTATAGATTCTAGACCCGGGTGGGCAAATCCGGCCCTCCAGCTGTGCTTTAGCTACAAATACACCAATGCTTCTGCCTCTGGGAGTCATGTCTGTACCTATCAGTCTTGGAATGCCTCATGGGATGTGTAGTTCCACAACAGCTGGAGGGCCAGAGTTGCCCACCCCTGCTCTATATAGCACATTACATCTAATGCAGGGCTGAATGGGAAATCTTTTTTGGGAGGCTCAATCACTGCACTATATTGACCTGTTACATTTTAGGTCAATGATGCTCCTAGGCCTATTTTGATGCCGGACAGCATATACTCAATGGCAGTTAATGTTGCCACTTGCTTGTAGTCCTCATTAAAGACCTCAAAGAATTAGGACGTGCAGGCATTATTGGATTTATGTCCGAATGCATTTATTCACGATTAATACAATTGCATGCCTTGGCTCAGCATTTGTGGCTTTGCTTATGGTGATGAGCAAGCATCCATAAGCTTTAATAAATAGAAGTCCTGCCCTGAGATGGCCGGTCACTGATTATATTGGGAACGGCAAGCAGTTTGACAAATGTTTCTGATCATTGTCAGTTCAGTCCGTCATTCCCATGGGGACAGCAGATGATTCTATTGCTGTCAGGTGAGAAAATTCACTTCTTGTGTTTTTGGCTGACTTTAGATCCTTTGAGATGCTTCTCAACTCAAGCCTCGCACAGCGAGATCCAATGTTGGGGTCAGGTTAGAGTACCCAAAAGACCTTCATGTACATGTGGCAATGATAAAGGTTCTCGTTTTCTACTTTGTGCTGCACAAAGGCATCAGACTGATTGCTGTGGCCCTAAACCTAATTCAGGCTCTTATTAACAGAGGCACCAAATGTTTGTATTTCTATTTTTCATGGGAAATGTGTATTTGTAAGAGCACTACTGAATGTATGAAGTGGGGGGAAAGCCTTGAGAATTAAGGTTTTTGTTATTTAAGCGTATTAGAATTTTGTAAAGCAGCATTGAAAGATATCCAACTACTTGAGAAATCTGATCTATGTTCTAATGTGTTCACTTTAAATGTCATCGTGTCCTCTACATTATTTCAGTGCTATGGCTGTTTACCATTAGCAATTGGTGTAATAAAACAAATGTGATGCTGCAAACAGTGTGCTATAGTTTTTGTGGAATGGAGTTCAATGTGGCTGCTGATATTTGGGTTTGGGAAATAACAGTTGGTAAAACAATAATGAACTGTTTCCTCTTTTCTTCAAACAGCTCCACCCTCGTCATCCTTGACTTGTACATGGAGGAATTAGTCATGGCAAAGTACACTGCTCAGTCGCCGAGTGTACTTCAAATACAAGCGGCTTTGTTTAAGAACTGGGTACAGAGGGGTGCTGCACCCTAATGCTCAGCAACTTTGTTTTGACACAAGTGAACATGTCTGTGAAGGTTCATATTTATCCGG